ACTAAGGGAGCGAACTACACAGGAAAACCGAACTGCAATGAGAAGGAAAACTTTACACAAACCCTGTACCAACCTGTCTAAGTATGCATTTGGCCAACTATCATTCGGGCCACGGTGGTATCCTCCTCATCCATATCAGCTTCTTCACCAGAGCTACAAGTATAGCACGAGGAAGTTAGGTTAGTATACTAGTAACTCGAATAAGATATTGCCGGGTTGACCTTGGTTCTTTACTACCCGATATTTTTTTATTACCTAAAACAATTATTTACCAACAACTGCTGCCTGCCAACATAACAGCTTCACTTGGCACTTGACTTGACTTGGTAAAGAGGTCTATGTCCAGCAGAGGACTATTAAAGGCCGTTGATGATGACGATGATTAAATCTATCATTATGTTAATTACATAGCATTTTATATGAAAATGAAAAATGAAAAAATATTTATTTAGAAACACAAAGAAAATAAATTACAGAAGTGCTTAACAAGACATAAAATTAGTGAAGCAGATCTTATCAGATAAATATTAAACGCGGTCCCCACACTAGGCAAGCCTGTATCGTGGGGTCCCAGCCAAGCGTATATACATGTCACTGCCAATTGTTAATCGTTATACCTTATAATTGTTTTTAGTAAATTTGTTTTTTTTTTTTCTAAATACGGGATATTAGATATAATATACTCAATATAAATACGTTATCTTCAAATCTATCAACGCATAAACTGATTCACTGACTGATCGACCAAAGCACAGCTGAAACCGGAGGGTCTACAAACATTTAATTTTGCACAAATGTTCCTTAGGTGACGTAGGTATGCACTAAGTAAGAGTTTTTCACAGTTCCACCTCTGAGGGTGAAAAATAGGGGTTCGAAATTGGTATAAAACTTCGTGGTAGTGGCGCTTTAAATGTTGATTCACCGAATCCTCTGAGAAGTTTGACGTCAATCACCACGCGGACGAAGTCGCGGGCAAAAGATATAATTATATAATGTACTGCGATGCTCGATATAAAACATGTTTTAAAGACAGTCTTTATCTATTTTTAGCGTTAGTTTTATTCCTCATTTCTAATTAGGTAATACAAGCACACTGTGCCACAGCGGCACATGGCAGAGTACAGCTAGTTCATTATAAAAAGTGACACGTAAGTACATGATATTTTCAAAGTAGCTTGTTTTGTACCTTAGTAGTAAACAAAATTCAAAATACCATATGTTAATACATATAAATTTGTCCTTGAACTGCAAACATAATTACGATGATAAAATAATTACATAATAATGTGTCAGTTGACCGCAGCAAGTTCGACGCGCTTATGTGATAACAGGCTTTAAGTATTACACATGTATGAAGAGTACCGGAAGCCATATTGTTACGTATAATAATGATTAATTGCTATCACCCAACAAACGGTGACACGGTAGTGCCACTGCCGAGACGAGCCAAGCGAAGCGCAAGTGCTCTACCTAACTACTTTTTCTGGAAGCGTCTCGTCGTTTTTTAGAACCACCATAACTTGGTTTGGTTTGGTTTATACCAGATAAACAAAAATATTGTGATACGATGCCAATAGTAAAGTTATTAAATATATAAAGTTTCAATAGAATAGCTATTATACTTTAGATTTTATTGATATCAAAAATAAAACAATTTCGTCACTGACTTACTGATGATCATCAAATTCCTGAAGTCTTAGAAAGCTGTACAGCTGTAAAAAAAATAAAAAAATATAAAACTTGGCACTTTTCTCCCCTCAACCCCTTAAACTAGTGGATGAAACTTTGTATGAGACATCCGCAAATTTTGATACTAGAGGTCTGACAGTTGATATAAAAGGGACTTCTTGTTATAAATAATAAATACATATTTAAGTATTTTTGCACGTGCATGCCGTCCAAACAGAAACGATTATTTTCGATGACGTCAAAGTTACGCTATCGTCACATGGGCTTAAGTTAAAAAAAATATTCATAACAATAACTTCTTGTAGTAACTATTACCCAGATGAACATCAATACATCTACCGCTATTCGCTACCGTCACATGGGTGAAAAATTAATTCACTGTTCACTACTTTACTTTTATACAACATTTCTTGTAGTAACGAAACGGCCAAGCCACATATTTGACTAAGGTGTAGAGATTGTAAAGTTAGGTCGTGTAGAGTTAGAGCGTCTAGAACTAGAAGTTTGGCTCTACATGAGATCTGATAACTTTTTGAGGTGCGAGCCATATAGTCTCATCTTGGCAAAACTTTACATAAAAATGTTTTTCTGACTACAGATATTTAAATATACCTGAATCCGTCAAACACAATCGTTAGGCTCGGTAATCTCCGTCCACATACTTCAGGCCTGTTCGGCAGACGACGGCGAGGCACGAGCTGCGCGAGGCGTGGGAGGCGACCGACGATGTATCTCACGATGCTCACCCCACAACGACCATCCTCGAGTATACATGCACCTAGCCTTTGTACTTTACATTTAATTCAAATATACCAGCGTTACAGTCTTGTCGTGGTTTAATTTATACAAGTCCAGAGTTCCCTCAATACTTGTAAAAGGGCACTGTGCCTTCAATACCTACACTCGAAAAACATAACCCTCCTTGTGATGCAGTCGAGTAAAAAGTGAATGCTTCCGTTGATTTTATGTCACGCTCAGTAAAATAATTCATTTCTAAGTGATATGTATTTTGTGTGTTCTATTTCTCGCAGCGATGAAGGCGGGGCGTGTTGATGTCATGCTGAGTGCATTGGCCATCTTATTTCACTTCACTGCGTACCTTTATATACAAGCGCGCAGCTTGTTATGATTGGCTAACTTAAAATACCACGTTTAAGGCCAAGATGTCTTAAGTACGTTCTAAGTGTAAGTAGATATTTACCTAATATTTGGTACGGGCCTGGTGTTGCCTGGTGGGTTAGAGACCCATATTGCTAAGCCGGAGGTCGCGATTTCCATCCGGGACTAATGATTGTGTGATGAGCACAATTAATAAATTGCATATAATAATCAAGGTGGAGTATACCAAGAACTAGGTATTGGTATTGGTTGTGGTCTTCGGTTTCCGCATTTAGACTCAGAGTGGTCCTTTATGCGTCGAGGATTGGTTGACTAGGTGAGCCAACCAAGCTCCTTCCAAAAGCGCAGAAGCTTCCTGGGGCGTTCACAGGCTTCTAGGAGCGACTTTATATCAGGAATCATACTTGCCCGTTGTGTGGCCACTCCCTCGCATTCCAGGACTACGTGGACGGCCGTTTCTTCAGCTTCCAGACATCCCCTGCACAGGGGACTGTCCGTCGCATTGATTATGAATAGTTGTCGGTTCAGGGCTAGATGTCCTGTAATAGTTCCGACAACCATTCTGAGTTCCGGTCTGCTAAGACTGATCAGTCTGCAGATGAGTCGTGGTGTGACTTGATTCAGCACCAGTTTGGACTGTCTGCAGCCGGGTGAGTTTTTCCACCTCCGGTTGTGTGCTTCACAGGTCCGTTGCCTGACCCAGCATCGTATTTGGTTAATCGTTCCCGTGTGAGTTACTGTGCCATCCATTGGAGGAGTACCCCATTGAATATAGCGAGCTGTTCCAGTGCTTGGTGGCATTCGAAGACAATACCAGAGGTCATTGTGTTGCCCTCCAATGCCTTTAAGACGGCCATGCTGTCGGATATTATATACCAAGAACTAGACAAACATACATACGATTAGGCATACACAGATACAGGAGAACGGCTTTATATATACTTAAAATAAATTATCTGCTTTTGACGCAGTGAGGGATTTAAGCGTGCCTTCATGAGCAATTGAAATAGATATTATATTAGGCACAAAAAGGTTATTGGTTTCGTTGGTCACACCGCAATAATTGTGATTAGTATATTTAACCACTTATATTTACCTACACAGTCTTGCCTTAAAATTGTGGCAAGCTAAACATCATGTTCATTAATGACATTTTCTACATCATTAAATGTTATAGCACCATGGTGGGGCTCGTGGCTGAGTGGTAACTGAGTGGGTTAGCACATTGCAAAGTTGAGCAACCCTAGTCAGGTCAGTCTATGGATGGATGACCTTTATTAACACGTTCAGATCCCTTCGTGACTCGGAGAGCACGGTTTAGTTAGAGCCCTTAAAGTCTGTTAAAACTCTATCTACAGAACTTCGATATCACCTAGTACCTGGGATGTACCTAGAGGTCTGACGGCAGTCGCTCCATGTAAAAAGTCGAAATCAGCCGTATCATAGTAGATCCCCATCACTTGGGTAATGGCACCCAAACACTGTGCGGTTTTCAAGACACTTTTTGCGTCGCACGACTAATCTGTGGAACAAATTATCGTTTGCGGTATTTCCGGAGTTGCAGGCGTTCATCGGCAGTGGTAATCATTTTCTAGCAAGAGACCCGTCCGCTTGTTTCTCTTTCACGAAAAAAGCCAACCTTGTTTGTATAAAAAGGCTCGGCAAAAGCCGAAATTTTAAAGCAATAACTAAAAATTTTATGAATATACGATATTTATGACCTACACAAGACTCACGAATAACCAACTTAACTAAGTTCTACTAAGTGCGTGGATAATCGACTGATAGATGTCATTGATCTAATTCAAGGCCAACGATGCATGTTCAAACTTGCATTATCATGACGTAACCCAATAACATTGTGCCGTAATAAATACGCAATATTTTTATCAGTGTCCTTCGTGCTCTCGGCCAGATCGGACGTGTCGACTTGACGAGTTAAGACAAATCAAACACACAAAGTTTTTTGCACGACTTTCTGCACATCAAACGGATATTACTTTTTTAACCAATGGCAGTACCAATCAAAATTTTGGTTACATTTATAGTGACCTTTACATTTTCGGTCGTAAACTCTCCACCCACTGTTCGTGATTTGCATCCTTCGAAAAACGCGAGTTTTCAAATTGCAAGGACCGATGACGAAGATGTATTAAATTTATCGAGGAAACGACGAGAAACAGCACGAGGACATGGATGTCCTAAACGAAAGATTTGGTACTACACCAGATGCAGAACTTATAAAGAGTAAGTTTATGTTTGAATTGCTTTTACCTTTCTATAATACCATGCTACTGGATTTCTGGAAGTTTCCATGAACAATTCTTAAACTCGTATGTATGATTACAAATTATAGAATTTTAATAATAAATTTAGAGTTCGTTATCAATATGACTAATGCAGAGGAACCTTTTCACATATTATGATTTCTTTGAATACGATCATACGCGTTATTAGTTTACTCGTGTTGTAATTTATTGAATAACAATTAGGTATCTTACTTTTATTAGAGTTGACAACGGCGATGTAGTGCATCTTTCTGATTTGTCCTTGAATACATCATACGGGTGTATTTATTTGAAGATGTAAGCA